TTTACATCGTTGATCAAATGTACAAATATATTTCGTAGATGTTCTGGTGTATACAACCGATATAAAATATATAATACAGAATGAAGCAAGGTATACCTTTGGTATAGTCATGATGCCAATTAAAACAGCAAAAATCCTAAAAATGTAAAAGATATATTTCTATGCAATATATATTCAAAAATTATTATAGTTATTCTATTAAAAAACAATAAACAATAAAACAAATACAACAATAACAACAACAGCAATAATAATAATGATGATTAATAGATATTAATAGATATTAGATAATAATCATTTAGCAATAAAAAAAATCGTTATACTTATCGAATCTAAGTATTAGTTTTTAAAAGCGATGATATTTGAATAAGATTTTTTGTCGAACTGAAGCTCCCAAAAGTTACTTTTATAAAGAAATCATCTAGTCATAATCCAATATCTAGCTGAAGTATCCATGGCGTCGTGCTAACTGAAACCAGCACCGTGTGACAAAAAGTGATATGATATATGCACCAATGAAATAGTAACTTAAGGACAAAGTTAACCTTAACACAGGCCAAAGATATGTAAAAAGGTAAGCATACAGTCAACAATATACATATATTTTTCGAATATACCAAGCTAAAAACTTCAAAGTCAATTAAAGTTGTGCATTATTTCTCCAGTAACAGTCAAAGATATTTCACAAATACCCAACAGCATTTTTTTCATATACGTAAGCACACTAAGATATGACTTATACAACTACTGACGAGTTTTCTGCCTTTAAAAAATTCACATGAATATATATATATATTGGTTGGGTTAAAAACAAGTTAATGAGATTTATTTTCAACCATACCCCATTTTTGATCTCGGTCCGTAGATTAACAAAAACGCTCATAAAAACAATCACTAACCAGGACAGTTGAGTACTTATAACTAATAAATGGCGATAAAAAAAACAACAAAAAAAGCAACAGAAATAAAAAAAAAAAAAAACAAATGATGGTTTCAAGCGATTTTTTTAATAATTACGGTAGCAGGTTTCTAGCAAATATTTTAATCGAGTTATATTATTTGAATATATTTACTTGCTACTTTTAATGCTTGAATTCAATCTTCAATTTAAAGTGTTCAACTATTAAACAACGAAAAAACAATCATTTCAATAGTAGTACTTGCAAATAGATAATTGCTTAACATGCTTAAAAATGTTTTAAAAAATTAACCAGTATGAATATGTGATAAGAATCTATGTATATATATATATCTTACCTTTGATAGATTTTAATAACTTTCTAGATCTTTTTGTCTCTTGTAAATGCGAATAGATTACGTAAATTGCAATATTTGTATTGTATCGATTTAAAAAGTCCTGAGATAGATTTCCTTGTTTAATTATACTGAATAAACTTTTTCTTTTCTCACGCTTTAATGTTGACTATAACATTTACAAACCATAAACATATTTTTACTACACCGAATAGAAAGAGGAAAATATTATACGAGGGCAGTCAAAGAGTCTTTGAAAACCTAACAACAGAATTGCCAATATAAAAAAACACTTTAAAAGGAAGTTAAATTCGGCTTCAATTATGACACCTGTCATGTTACGCTTGGCAAATTAAAATAAGGTAATGCTATGTTTTGGTGATGCTCCTTTTTTTGGAAAAGGGTGAAAAATTCAAATACGAAACAAAACATATTTACATTATATAGTTAACCATTATTAAAGAAAACAGAAGGTATTGTTTCAAAATCAAGGATAAATTAATAACTAAAAAAATAAAATAACAAAAAATACCGAACTGCAAAAAAATTCAAATTCAAGTGAAGAGCTTTATGACCAAAAATCATAGCCAAATTAATCTAGAGTCAATTTTGCGTGACGGAGTCGAAACCTTAATTTCATATGATGGTAATTTCTTATTTATAACGAAGAAATGCCAGCATCGAAGTACTGAAAACTGAGCTGATTATACCATCGCGGACTTATATTCAACTAGCAGTGATAAAATTAAATACAAAAAAAAAAACCAAAAACACTTTATAAAAGCGGTTTTCTGGGTTAAATTCACATATAGTTGTGACTTCAACGAACCGTGTATTTAAAAATAATGAAATTATATTTTTAAAAAAATACCATAGAAGCGTGAAGTGTGAGGAAAAATATAGTCAATTGCGAAATTTTACCTTGGTAACAAACAGAAATATGTAGTAAGACATTGTTCGAATTTTCGTTATGTTTCTGTGTGCTCTTTGATTATGTACTCTTTTCCACTCGATTTTATGGTTTTCATTAAGCTCATGAATGAAAGTTCATTGTTTAGTTGGTGTATAATATCTAATTTGAGGTAAAACCATAAGCTTGACTTTATCATAAAATGAAAAAAAAAACTTTCATATTCCTGACTTTTTTACAGACATTTTCCGAAGAACGTGGTGGATACCGCCTAGTTTTATAGCTAACTGAACCTTCAATTCGTCTGACAGTTGTTTATAGTCCTGCGAAATTGACAAAATTGTGTTAGCAACCAAAACAGATATAATTGGTTAACATGATGCACTATTGTGTGAATGTATTTTTTTATGAATGGTATCATACTTTCATTGTAAGTTATCTATTGGAAAGAATTTATGTAGCAAGTGTGGGGAAAATACCAAAATACCGTGGCATTTGACGCTAGTGTTTTAATACTTTATGAGTAAAATATAGTTCCTCTTTTATATCTCAATAAATGGATGAGAAAAAAGATACACCAAAAAGGCACAATTAAAATCAATTGACAAAATAACTTAATTTATATATATATACATATTACACAGATAATTATAAACACTAAAAAGTGCATCTACATCATATTGTATTTCAATATACCGTATTTTGGAAAAATGTTCGCTTGTGTCTAATTCATAAGCTTGCAGTATGTATTTAACGCGACATAAATCCTGAGTGAAGGTTTCATAGTCCATTTTAATGTTTAATAAATGCTGTGAAACGTAAATTATCAACACGACGTGAAATATACGGGTTTATCGATATAATTTCTTTATATCAAAATGATTTAGGTTGTATGTTAAGTTTAAAAATGTATTTTATTGACAAGAATCACGCATTACAACCAAAACGGGTTATTATAAAAAACACAAAAATAATTTTAGATCAACAATTTATACATTAAATATAGTTAATGACTTCCAGAGGAGCTTTAATTCCTACATATACACTATACTTGATGTAAATGTTGATCAGGAAATTGTTTTTGTGTATTTTATCAAAAATTTAGTAAAATTATATTAACGGCGTTTTTTGGGAGCATTTTACTCACAAACTAAACATAAGGACACGAAGACTTTATACCATTTGTGACGGCTATGTTTGCGTTAGCATATTAATAAACCATTTCCAAATAACTTTTAATACTATAATACATTTGATATGTGTTAGTTTGATAATAACAAAAACTCCTTCAACAATTGCATGCTTTATTGGAACGTAATTTATTAAATAGCAAAAAGTCAAATAACAACAATAATGAACTCCGAGTAAAATTCAAAACGGAACGTCCATAAGAAAATGAGAAAATCAAATGCTCAAAACACATCAAACGAATGGATAACAACTGTCATATTCCTGACTTGGTACATACATTTTCTTACGTTATAGTCAATTTAACTTTCCCATGTTTCCGTATCACTATAACATTATTTTCTATTTTGCTGACATATGCTTCAATTATAAGTCAAAATCACATGATGTTTTCAAAATCATTGGTGATTTTTCACGGTTCCTGTAATTTATGGTTTTTTTTTTAAGGATATATAATTTTAGCTACTCAGACTGAATTAATGAGATTACGTTAATGGATATCCGTTTCTGTTGATGTTTGTCATGAGAGAAAAAAATAATAATTTAGATATATTTATTTTCGCGTTATGTTTCGACTGAAGGTCCATCATATATATCGCTCCTCAAAAATAATTAATTATTATACAACTTAAAATTTTGTCTTTGCTGTTGTTGCTCTTTAACTTATGTATTTGGTTTGATTATGTTTTTCTCTCTCGATGTTTTCAGTTGTCTTAAACTAATCAGGTAAACTATTTATTATGAAATTTTAGAAATGTGTTACCTGTCATAAAAATGTTCATTGGATATCAGATATATATAGATTCTACCACTGCATCGAGTGTGATACGATATTTATCAATTCGAGACAGTTACATTTTTAAATTTAAAACGCGAGGCTCGCCGAGCGTTTTAAATATTTAAAATTTATCTGTTGAGAGTGGATAAATATTGTATTGCACGAGATTTGGTGGTGAAATCTGTTTCTCTAATGATTTTTGGACGATATACAGACAAAATATAATCCTTGTTTTCGAATGATCCGCAAAAAGATGTGTTCTTTCTAAGTGACGTCATCAGGCATGGTCGCCTTTTTCATGACATCAGAAAAGGAATTTCAGAGAAGAGCAAGAAAACTTGACGTCATAATTGAATTTTGATCAATGAAGAACTGAGATCAAATGAACCACACGTTGATTAAATAAAAATTATCAACGGGTCAAGAAAAGCATAAATCGGGGAAAATTAGAGAAAACATAAATATCCAATAACTTCATTTTTTAAGTAGTTTAGTTTAATCGTTAAAATATAAGTTGTCATATGTTGATGTGGCTCACAGGGCCAAGTGGTCTGTTCTGGTCACTTTGCGTCCGTCTTTGTCCGTCGTTTCTCGTCTGTTAACTTCTACAAGGCAGAAATGTTCACAATACTGAGATCTACTTTTGGTTCATTTACAGTAAAACTCTCAGACGACTTCAGTTAAGAGTTATTGCCGTAAGATGATAGAGACAAACATTTTGAAATAGCAAAAAAAAAAAAAAAAAAAAAAAACTGATCAAAAAGACAAGACTAAAAAATTAGTTACATGGCCAAACTTTGAGGACTTATTATCGGAGTAATTGACCTGTTATGACAATTTTGTTCCACTTTTTGCCAAAATCCAATATCATTAAACTATAACAGATTTATAAAAAGTAACATAAGTATGGTGATCAGCAAGACAAGAACTACAAACAAATTTGATGATCGGAACCGTCAGTAGACGCTTATTGGAGTTTATGCTCTTTAATGACGATTTTTTTTGGTGTTTTTCCTATTATCTTGAAAACCATAAACGATGGATAAACACTTGAACATTAATTCAAACTAGTTTTACAAAATCTAGTGTTTGCATCAAAACGCTTTCAAGTTTAAGTATATTTTTCAGTTTATAGAAATTAAACTAAAGCTTCCTTTATTTTCGCCCAAAAGACAACATTCCCTTGTTCATCATTTGGATACTCGATGTAAGATTGCTGTTGAACTAACTCAAGGATTACTAATGGAAGATCTTTCGGACGCAGTTGTTCATAGAAGATCAGAAAGAGAATGTTTTGACCATCTCTGGAATATATACTTTCCATTCTTGCCATATTAAATTCAAACATGCAATAGTATGAATCAAGAAATGATCGCGTTAATATGCATATTGTCCTCCTACTTTGGTGAATTTCATTCGTAATATTATGTGTAATTTCTTCTCCTGGAACGAAGTCCCGCTGATGTATACAGAGTTTCATTTTGTCATTGCATTCTAAGTTTCGTATAATTTCATTCAAAACGAAATCGGTTTCTTCATTTGCATACGAGATGAACGCATCGTATTTGTAAGTATCGCTAGATTGAATATTTTTGAAAACATTGTATTTATGTCTAGTCATATAATACAGATAACGTAGCTTCCATCGAAATCGGAACATCAATCCAGCAGCTAGACTGATACAAGCAGTAATTATCCCCATTGTTATACAAATGATTAACATAGTATACGAACTGCACTCCTTCTCAAGTTTTTAACTATTTCTTGAACATTTGTCAAATGAACTACGTCATTGTTATCCACCTGGCACATGTAGTTATTCCTGTTTATGAACATGTCCAAGTTAGCTTCCATCCATTGTAGGAAATGTAGATTTTGACATTTACACTTTAATAAACTATTTGATAGGTCAATTTTCAGCTTTGATGTTTTCGATATTTTATGTAATGTATCCATAGATTTTTGCGAAGTTATTCCACTGATGTTGTTACAAGATAGATCAAGTTTTTCTAAACTAGTAAGATGAGAAAGATCGAAAGTAAGATCAGATATTTTGTCGTTGCTAAGATTTATCTTGATTATATTTACATGTCCGTGAAATACTGTGAAAGATAAATCCTGAATAAAATTGAAAGATAGGTAAACTTCTCTTAGGTTAGTCTTACTGGAATTTGTATATTTTTTTGTAGAAAGGTACACACCTAGCGAATTATAACGTAAGTTCAATGTCAACAAGTAAGGCATTCCAAAATGGAACTTCAAAAGTCTGTTATTTGCAAAATCGCACACTTTCAATGTGGAAGGTAGCATGAAAAATTCTTCGTTACCAAAAGCTTCTACGAAATTGTTATTATCTGCATAAATTTCTTCAATTTGCGTCGTACTCAAAAGAAGAGAAAAATATTGTGGCATAAAGTTATACACATCTCGAAAAGAGTTTGTCATTTTCAAAACTTTTAACCCAAGATTGTATTTCAAATCTGTCAACAGATTTTGAAGACCTGCGGTTGATAAATTATTATTAGAAATGTCTACGTATCGCAACTTTTTTCCATTTCGCAATGTCCAACGTTCATATGCATTCGTTTTACAGTTTTTCATTTCAATATGCTCAAGAAAGGGCAGATTAAAAAATGTTGTGTTGGTTACAGAGGACAAACGACAATATCCGATTATCAACCTTCTAAGATGCGTTAATTTCCTGTATTCGTCTTGAAAATTAAACACTAAACGGTTACGTCTTGCATCTACCTTTATACCTTGTAATCGAACTAGATGAGAAATTAAAATCCCTGGTATGGTGGTATATGTATAATTTAGTGTTGCCAAATTATTCCGCGCTATATTTAAATATGTTAATGACACCAATGGCTTGAAAATATTATTTGGAATATTCAAGCTGAAATTCAAATAACTTCCTTTGAGATTTAAGATCCGAAGACTCAATAGACCTTCAAAAGTCCCTTCTTCTAGATACACAATTTGATTCCAAGATAAATCTAGTTCGGCTAAATTAATAAAATGATTGAATGTTGTTGGGGGAATGATTTCTATCTAATTAAGATCAAGTGAAAGGGTTTGTACAGTTGCTGGGAAAAGAGGGATGTTGTTACCAGTGATGTTTTTGTGAAAACAAGATATTTCAAGATTTGAAATAGAACATTTACATCGCTGGTCAAATATGCATACATTCATTGGAAGAAAATTTGATTGTAAAGTTGATACGCAACACATAAAATAGAACGAGACAGTGAATAACTTCGGTATATTCTTCATGTCCATTTTAACAGTATAGGCTCTGAAATTTAATAAAATATTTTTATTATAATTAATTGATGATTTATTTAATAAAAATCTCGAAATTTTCAATATTCATAATATAATGATCTGCTAATCCATCAAGAGCACCTGAGATAATTCCCTGTTTTTGGTTCGATTCATATTGCTCGGTCTTTAGTTATCTATGTTGTGTTTTGTTGACTTTTTGTTGTTTTTTCGTCGTTTTTCTATTTTTGTTAGAGCGTTGTCACATTGTCTTTGACTTTTGAGTTTGAATAACACAATAATGCATTTTCTATAGGCCAAACTGTTTGTAAACCATACAATGATACAACTTTGATTTCCGTGTACTGATTTTAAACTACATACATGTATCGGCGTTTGTTTTAACAAAAATACGTATTACATCTAAATAATGCGAGTGTTATCATTTTTTTTTTACCTTACCACGGGATTTTTCGAATTGAACATTTTCGTCCAGCATATGCATGGTATAATTGTGATAGGAGTGCATGTTAGTAACATCAACCACAATGAAATCATTATAAAATGAGTATATTGAAATGTATATTACCATTGATAGACCTCCCTCCGAACTTTTGAAAATGTAAAACAACGCGTTATCTTTTTATCTTGATTTTTAAAATGCATAGTTATGTGGGACGTGATGAATACATCCTGTATTGAATGACTTTCAAATAACCTTTGATTAATATGTCATTCCAATTTATTGAACAAACATTTTCCTGTATTCCTTTTCGCTTTCATGCGGAACAAAACAATGTACAAGGAAATTATTTTCTTTCACTGTCGAATGTTTCAAATAAAAAAGATAAGCACGTTCTTCGTGTACATTTATTGCAATTCAATTTCACATTTAAAACTTAAAACCTATTTACACAAACTAAAAAATAGTACTTAAGAGCAATTATCTTATTTTACAAAATACAGTATATATTTTTTGTTACTTAGTCGTGTAAGGAGAAATAATTAAGATAATTTAAATGTTTAAATTAATGAATGGATAATTTACCTATATTGATGCAAGAAAACGTGTGCGGTGACACCAATATACTTGTTTTTCCCCTAAAATTACAATAAAAGACTCATATTCTCATATTTGAATTTAAAATTCTATCATTTATTTTTTCTCCACAACACAAAATTATTTTTTCCGAAACACGATGTACTCAAAGTTATCAATCTGTGGGTTAAAACAAAAGGTTGGGGCCAATATTTTTGTTTTTTTGTTGTTTTTGAAAATACATGTCCTTATTTGGCAGAGTAAATAAACGATTCTATCAAATACTATTATAGATTCCATCTACCTAAAATACGAGAAATAATTTTAATACACGTTTATGAAGGAAGTAACGTACGTTATATATATTCATTTTTATTTTACTTTAGATAAGCATCATTCGTGAACTAATCGTTATATCAATTAACAAAGTAATTGAAAAAAAATAAAGTTGTTAAAACAGATGGACGCTCTAAAGATCCCGTGTCTCTCACATGTATCTATAAAATAAAAAATTATACTTTTGGCTAAATTTCATCTTTGAAGGACATCAAAAAGCAAAAAGAGTTAACTGGCAATTTTAATTATGTTTATGTCTCATTAGATCTTATCCTGCTGATCATTATTCCTCTTTAAAGTTTCTATCTATTTCTTTACGTTTTCAAAAAATAAAATAAAATAGGACAACACAATTTTTTTTAATAATACAATCATTAATGTGCAACAAATCTAATACGAGTCAATTGGTGATTTTTGTCGTTTTGGCTTTTTTGTAGATCTTGCGTGCTAATAATTTTTGCTATTTAAAGTATTAAGCTATATATTATAGGTTTCAAGATAATAAGCAAACATGCTGAATATTGGGAAGAATTGTCTTTAAAGGGCAATAGGTTTAATATGGAGTTGACTGTCAATTTTGGTAATGCTGATTTATTTGTCTTGCTGATACATTTTGCTATCTAAAGTTTTAATTCACCTTCGGGCCAGGTGAGCCAAAAAAGAGTTCCAGTATGAAAATTAGTATATGAAGTATGATTACGAATATGATAAAAATATCATATAGACAACATACAACATTCAGCAATGAGGAAAGTCTAAACCGTAACATATAATGCCCAATTATGATAAAATGAGAAAAAGACTAAAAAGAGAAAATCTACGAAGTGATTAATATCCAGTAAAAAAGATAGGCGAAAGATACCAAAGTGATATTTAAATTCATAAGTCAGAAACGAACACACAATGTCATGGCGAAAATAAATGACTAAAAGACAAACATTATAAAAAAACACAACAAAGATAACAAAAGACTGAACAACACACATCCCACCTAAAATTAAGGTTGATACCCGGTGCTAATGAAGGGTAAGGGTATCATGGTCCACATGTGGCATCTGTCATGCTGTTCATATAAGTACAAACTCTGTGATAAGTCTTATTCGGTGAGTCACATTCGAAGAACATATCCGTCATCATCTGTGAAACAGATATTCCATAGAAGTCAACCAACTCGTTATGGTTTAATAAAATTATTTTAAACAGCAGCCCTCTATCAAGGAAATCATGACAGGAAATGCAAACTCTGGATTACCATATCAATTTTGCTATATAAGTCCATATACAGGGGCTGCGGGAATGTTACTAAAATAGCAATTGGGAAGCTGAAATTATTTCTTTTGTCGTAAAGTTTGGTTTTAAACTGACTGTCATTGTCAATTTCTAGATGTAAGTCAAGATATTAGACAGACTTAACTGTATATGTTGTATTCTTTATTTCATGTCGAATAATTCAGTAATTTTCATTTTTATGATTATATAAATATTAAGGAATTAAGCATATATAATGCAGGTATTGTGTCAGCTAGTGCATTGTTGCCAACAATACCTTTGCATGTGAGATTTAAAACATTTCATGGGTTCCACTTAGGTTTATAGCATGGTGTGAATTATAGCATATAAGTGTTAATTGAAAGCGCCTGTTGATCTCCCCTTTGGTTAGTGATTTTGTTTTTTCTCAATTGTCTTCAATGCAATTTCCTAGATATTTTGTGTATTTATATAATTATCATAATAATTGGAAAAAAAGGATATGGGGTATCCAACCATGAAACACTGAAAAAAAAAACAACACACACAAACACACAAAATAACATACCGGAAAAAAGTACATAATTATGTAAAACAAAATAGTTCCTACGCATAGGTGTAAATTTCAAACTATGTAGAATATATTTTAGATAGTAGGGTATAAAGTGATAGATGAAGGACTGGTGATTCTTGTAGAACACATATTGACTGATAATTTTAAACAATACAAACATGTATGAATGGATTCTAAAATTGAGGGCATATATTGCCTGTTTCTCAAAGCACCTGGTTTGATTTATCAAATGTACTGGTAACCAGTACGGTCTAAATTTTTGTACAAGAATATTGTCCGTAAAAAAGTATTTTTCTTCTGAAGACTCAATATTTCTTTGTAGATTACATGAAATGGATAAATTTAGCACCCTTGCAAGATCCAATTAAACCAAAATACTTCCTCATACATTACTGTATTAATTTATTCAGAGTCAACATTATCAAATAAAACCAAACAGTTTTGTTTTACAAACGTATGAAATTCTACTAGTTCAGAACATAATAAAATAATTGTTTTTTTTTAACTTTTTTTCCACACGCATTACATACATTGTAATTAATATGTTTCACAATCATCAGTTTACAATTAGTAACAAGAGGCTCTCAAGAGCCTGAATCGCTCACCTGTAATTTTGTGCTTAAATTTTTCATCAATGATTATTTTTGCTTTTCAATATATATTAATGAGTGGCTAAAAAATGCCATTTAAATGTTCTTTGTATCTGTCATATTTTCTTCAAAAGCAAATAAATGCATTTTACCCCTATGTTTCATTTTAGCCATAGTGTCTATGTTTCTTGACGTACAAGGAAATAAAATACACTTTATACTAGATACTCTGAAACTCATCCAGCCCAAATATGGCTGAAATTGATTCAGCAGTTTCAAAGGAGAAGATTTTTTATAGTAAGCTAAGTAGATGAACAAATATTGAAAAATTGTCTTTCAAGGATAACAACTCCTGAAAGGGTCAATTGACAATTTTGGTCATATAAAACTTATTTGTATATCTTACTTTGCTGAACATTTTTGCTGTCTACAGTTTATCTTTATCTATAATAATATTCAAGATAATAACCGAAAACTGCAAAATTTCCTTAAAATCACAATACAGGGACAATAACCTAAAAATCAGATACCCGATTTGGCTGATAATTTCTGGGCAGGTAGACCATGACCTAATGAATACTTTGAAGTTTTGTCTGATTTGCTCTAAATGCTTTAATTTTTTAGATATAAGTCAAAAACTGCATTTTACCTAATGTTTTATTAAAGCCATGGCGGCCATGTTTTCTGAGGAAACTAAAAATAAAACACAAACTTTATTTTAGATAACCTAAGAATCATTCATATTAAGTTTGGTTTAATTTGGTTCAGGTAGTTGCAGGTGAGAAGATTTTTTTAAAGTTAGAAAACATGATAAACAAATTGTGTAAAATGTCCTTAAAGGACAACCACTCCTTAAGGGGTCAATTGACAATTTGGTCATGTTAACTTTTTAGTAGATCTTATTTTACTGAACATTTTTGCCGTTTACAGTTTATCTTTATCTTCAATTATGTTCAAGAAAATAACCGAAAACTGCAAAATTTCCTTGAAATTACCACTTTAGTGGCAGCAACCCAACAATTGGTTGTTCTGTTCGTCAAAAAATTTCAGGGCTGATAGAACTTGACCTATTGCACATTTTTATCCCGTTGCAGATTTGCTCTAAGTAGTATAGTTTTTGAGATATAAGCCAAAAATCGATTTGATCCCTATGTTCTATTTTTAGCCATGCAGGCCATGTTTGTTGAATCAAACTTCGGATACAATTTATAGACTAGATACCCTCAGGAACATTCAGTTAAAGTTTGAAGGTATTTGGCCCAGTGGTTTCAGAGGAGAAGATTCTTGAAATAGTTTACGCCGACGACGACGACGACAGACGACGATGACGATGACGATGACGACGACGACGACATACGACGGACGACGACGGAGGCCAAGTAATCGTATAAGCTCACGGTGAGCTAAAAATACAACGATGTGCCATTTTGAATTAACATCCATTAATATATACTGACGGATTTTAAAAACGCAAGACACACTTTATTGATTTTTTTAACCAAAATATGATTGATCCTCAAATAACTACTATCCATGCTTACCATACTTCTTCTGTTTTGTAAAATTCAATATTTGACTTGCCTGATGTTATTGAACATACCGGATTTTTGAAGTCGCACGAATTTCTTAAAGCGAAATCTGAGACCAATAAACGATTTTTAAAGATTTTTCTTCATGAAACAATTCTTTCAATGCATACCCACACTTAATCAGTTACAAAATGTTACATCTCCATATTGCCGAGTCTGAGCAACGAATCAATAGAAGTCGAATAAGCAAAGTCATTTGCGAGACATGTTTACGGCCGCAACGTCAACTGTTAGTCAAATCGCCGAATGCAATGGCAGACAAATTCATTCCATAAATGTTTCCCATAAACTGAAATGTATGTTAATTCATTTGTTTAACAAAAAATGAATAGATGAAAATGAGAATTAAAAAGAATAATCAAGTGTTGCGTTTCTAAAGTCGGTCAGTATAGATGGTTTCCATTTAAACTTGGCATTGTTCCACATTTTACAAAGTTCATGATCTTCAATCTCAAACACTTCCGCCCACTTTTCGTAGTAAACAGGATACTAACAAAGTTTACTAGAAAGTAATCAACATGATTCTATTTACACATTATCAGTTGGATAGAGAGTTGTCTCATTGGCACTCATACCACATCTTCTTATTTCTATGAATAATTCTACAAATTCAAGTTTGCAAAAAATATTTAAGTAAAACTGGATTGTTTGAAATAATTTGTTGTAATAATTCCTACAAATCATATTGAGAAGGTTATTTAATTCATTACTTTTACCATTTTCCAAAGTGCAGTCTGAAAATGTAGAGTAAGAAAGAGATAAAAACCGATTGTGTGAAATGTTATGAACATAATATATAACCATTGAAAATTAAGAAGGGCTTTGCTTTGCCAATGGTTTGCATGTGTAAAATTGATAACATTTTTTTATATTTTCGTAAAAGTTTTACGTGAGAAAACACTGAATCTGAAATTTTGGGTATGATATTAACGGGAATCCTAAACCCTGATAAGACCACGACTACACATGAGCTTATTTTATTACTCATCTTTTTGGTAGGCTTCGTATTATTTGGTTTTTAATTTTCTATGTTGTCTTTTGCAGACTGATGTTAGTGATCATTCGTTTTTCCTTTGGCGTTACCAGTTTGTTTTCGAGGAATGAGTTTGAATAGTGTTTTGATATCTTCCGCCTATCTTAAATAAATTCACTGAAAATAAAATCATCAAAATGCTTGATTTTTTGATGTAGAACATATTTGGTGAGGTTGGTGGATTGATATTTAAAAAGACAATCGGTATTTCAGTAGGTACTTATCAGGCACCCCTACTGGTTGACCTTTTGCTGTATTAATTTGAAGCACTATACACACTGAATTTGATCAAAAATGAAAAGAAAAGGCATCTTGCAGATACTGTATCGTATATTGATGATATCCCGTCACTCAATAACCATCACTTAAGAGAGTGCTGACATCTTAAATATCCAAATGAACTTGAGATTAAGGATATTAGCAACCTAGAATGTCTGCTCCATATCATTTATCATTGCACTAAGCTTCATGTTATTTAAGGTAAACGACTTAGAAATTAAATCTATGACAGGTGTAATTATTTCAACTATCCAATTGTCAAATTCAATTTCTCAGAAGTTACCTGTTACCTATCCCATCGTTTACATCTCCAGATTTATACCTAATGCTCCTGCATGTTGATATCAGGCTCCCTTGTTGAAAAAAGGTTGCTCCTTTAACAAAAGCTGCTCCAAAAGAGTTATCAGGATAAACATCTAGTATCGACACTACATACGTGATGATAAAAACATAAGTATCACACGGGCGCACTTTTTTTTAATGTTTGGATGAAACGACCATAACAATGCCTAAATAACTATTTTAACTACGCTGCATAGTAGGATGACCAAAAACGTATGTCTATGCGTCCATGTTTATGTTTATCAATTAAAAAGAAAACAACATGCAAATAAATGGTTTAAAAGATCAAATTTCTATCTTTCTGTTGAATAACAGTTATATTGTTGTACATAAAGAAGTTGCTAAACACTTTTTCATTCAGTAACGTATACTAACAATTTCTCCAAATATATAGGATACCAATATAACGTTTCGTTTGTGCAAATCATTACTGCTTAATTCATTCAAACTTAATTTGGAAACAATTAAGCAAATGTCTTTGTTTTTCAAACAACTAGATACCCCATCCCAACAACAGCAATGATGTCGTAGTACTCTTTTTTATTCACAACTATCTATTGAAAGTGTCTTTCGTACCTGCACTGACTTATGTTATTATATGTTTTGTTAGATATACTATATATTCAGGGTAATATTTTGTCAAAACTAATACACTTTTTGCGTTGTGCAGTCGTTGGCCTTGCTTTTATCGACCTTAATTTGTAAATGTTTTTTTTATTCATGAAGCAAATAGTTCAAATGAAAATACAGAAAAACAATTCTTAAATATCATACAAGTAAAAGAATAATTCACTGGTGTTAAATATCATAGACATGTCTGTATCAATTAGATTATCGCCAAACTCCTGGATTTTGTTCAGATGGATTCCGATAAAATGCACATTTTAAAATGCAGTTTACTGTTGGAAAACACTTTGTCAAGCTAGAATATTCTGTTGCTATTATCTAGATTAAACTAAAGATTCCTTTATTTTCTCCCAAAAGACAACATTCCCTTGTTCTTCATTTGGGTACTCAATGTACGATTGCTTCTGAACTAACTCCAGAATGATTAACGGTAGATCTTGTGGGCGAAGTTGTTCATAGAAGACCAGAAAGAGAATATTTTGTCCATCTCTCGAATATATACTCTCCATTCTTGCCATGTTAAGTTCAAACATGCAATAGTAAGAATCTAGAAACGACTGGGTTACTATGCATATTGTTCTCCTACTTCGATGAATTCCATTTGTAATGTTTTGTGTAATTATTTGTCCTGGAAGGAAGTCCCGCTGATGAACACAGAGTTTCATGTTGTCATTGCATTCCAAATTTGGTAAAATTTCTTTCACAACGAAATCGGTTTCTTCATTTGCATACGAGATAAAGGCATCGTATTTGTAAGTATCGCTAGATTGAATACTTTTGAAAACATTATATTTATGTCTAGTCATATAATACAGATAACGTAGCTTCCATCGAAATCTGAACATTAACCCGGCAAAAAGAATTATTAAAGCTGTAATGATCCCTATTGTCACACAAATGATTAAAGTTGTATATGAACTGCACTCCTTTTCAAGTTGTTTAACAATATCATTAACATTTGTCAGATAAACTACGTCATTGTTATCAAACCGGCAGGTATATTTATGCTTGAATATGAACATATCCACATTCGCGTTCATCCATTGTAGGAAATACAGATTTTTACAGCTACAGTTTAACAAATTGTTCGACAAGTCGATTTTCAACTGTTTAGATAATTTGTGTAATGTATCCATAGAAGCTTGTGAAGATATTCCACCGATGTTGTTACGAGATAAATCAAGTTCCTTTAAACTTACTAGATCGGAGAGATTAAAAGTAACATCCGTTAATTTGTTGTGGCTAAGATTAATCTTCACTGTTTTTTCGTGTCCGTGAAAAATGGAATAAGATAAATCATAAATAACATTGTGAGATAAATCAACTTCTCTGAGTTCAGTTTTACTAGAATGGGTATATCTTTCCGATGAAAGGTATGTACCTAGCGAGTTATTTCGTAAGTTTAATATCCACAAGAAAGGCATTCCGAAATAAAACTTCAAAAGATTATTATTTGAAAAATCGCACATTTTCAATGTTATAGGTAGCTTGAAACTCTTTTCGTCTCCAAAAGCGTACACAAAACTATTATTATTTGCATAAAATACCTCAATTTTCGTTACATACAAGACAGAAGCAAAATATGATGATGAAAACCTATCTACACATAAACAGGAGTTTGTCATTTTCACTACTTTTAAATTTGCATGTAAATCCAGATCTCCCATTACTTGTGCTAGGCTTTCATCATCAAGCCGATTATGAGAAATATCTAAATACCTAAATGTTTTACGATTTGGCAATGTCCCACGGTCATAGCTTTGTATCTCACAGTATGTCAGTTCAATATAGTCAAGATGGGGAAGATAACGAAATGTTTCGTTATTCACAGAAGGCAACAAACAAAAATCTATTTTCAACCTTGTAAGACGCCTTAATGATCTATAATTACTTGAAAATCTAAATGATAATAAGAGGTGTCCTGCATCTACTTCAATACTCTGTAATTTATGTAGAGGTGTAATTAAAACGCTTGGGAAATTGTGGAATATTCTATCTGTATTGAACAACAAATTGCGCGCTACATTCAAGTGTGTTAACGACACTAAAGGTTTAAAAATATTGTGTGGTATTTTTAAACTGTAGTTCAAAGAATTTCCTTTCATAGATAATGTTGTTAGGCTGGATAGACCATTAAATGTTCCTTCTTTTATGTATGAAAGCCGATTCCAAGATAAATCCAACTCGGTAAGATTTTCTAAATGATTGAATGTTGTAGGCGGAATTATTCTCATTTGATTAGAATTCAGAAAAAGTTTATGTACTTCTTTTGGAAAATGAGGGATGTCACTGTCGGTAATATTTTTATAAGCACAATAAACTTCAGTATCCGAATTATAACATTTACATCGCTGGTCAAATATACATACGCACTCTGTAAGTAATCCCGTGATTACAATCAGCATGATGTATATGATATAAACAAAAGTAATGTATGTAACGCATATCTTCATTTTGTCAGTAAAACAGCAAAGATTCTAAAAAATATAATGAAATATTTCTATTAAATATAATTTCAAAATAAAATAATAATGATTTATTTATTTCAAGTACAAACAAACAATTACTGATACTAACTATCATACTTTTTCTTATAATGATAATCGTCCTGAATATGCATGAAATATTTGCCACTGGACGTTAAGCAACCAACAATCAATCAATCTTATAATGATAATGATAATAACGTAATTATAATCATATTAGGCCAATTAAACATAATAACTATGGATTATTAAAAAATAAAAAAAACAATTCAAAAACCTAGTATCGGAAAGCTACACCAATTTTCCCATTCGTAACATGAATAGACAGTTTATTGGTAATTACAGTATACAAAGCTTTCGTACCTATGAACAACTGGGTTTAACCCTCACATTCTGCAAGGTTCTTTTACCAGATGACGTTTGTCTTTAATAGAAAAGATAGCTTATGGGGTATCCATCAACGACTGATGCCTCAAACAAGGAGAAAAAACTATCACCTCATTTCAAGTTGTGGTTGGCCTCTAGAACTGGTATGAGCGGAATACCTAAAAAAAAAACACTTTTGATCACACTACAATTGAACAACGAATTGAAGAATAAAGCCATGGATTTATCGCAATAAAATATATCCCAAACATTTTAACTACCACGTGGCACATCGAGTTGAATTTAAGATAACCGTAAACAAATAAAGCATGTAAATGGAAGGTAATAAACCATATAAGATGTAAAATAACAAACCCAAGCCTGTGAAAAAGAACATACTGGAAAGTTGTACATATTTATAACAAAATAGTTCATACGCCTATGTGTAGGTATTTGTATGTTAGTCTGTTTATTTTTGTTGTATTTAGTGATTAGTGGTTGATTGAGTTTTTTGTACCATAAGAATAATTGTATAAGCCATCTTGCGTTAAAAAAAATATAAAAAATAAGTTTTGTTGTTGAAAACATGTATATTTGAATGGTAATGACTTATGATATAAAATCAGTCTATTTTGGTAGTTTCTCTATAATATATACTTGTTTTGTCACAAACCAAACACGCTGTCTTTTTTATTCTAATGTTTACCAATCAAACAAATATAAAAGAGGAGCGAAAGATACCAGAAGGACATTCACACTCATAGATCAAAAATAAACTGATAACGCCATGAGTAAACAAAAACAAACAATAGTACACAAGACACAACAAAGAAACTAAAGACTAAGCAACACGAACCCCACCAAAAACTGGAGTTGATCTATATAAGAATACAATGCAGGCAATTTGTTCTAGAATATACAAAAGTAGCATATTACATGTTTTATGACACCAAACGTAATAAATTTTACTACTGAAAATTCCAAAATTGTATAACGTTATATTTCAATAAAACAATATCCTTTTATGACAGTACCTTAGTTTAAAATCATTTGACTGATAATACTCTGATCAACTAATGTAAATTAAACATGGGTCAATATCTACACTTGGAAATTAATTGAACCATTGTAGGAATTCTTTGGTTTAGGGTAATTAATCAAATTACCGAACGAATGTTAAACTACTGTTGGAAAATAAGAAAACAATTCACAAACCTTCTATCGGAAAGCTACATCGATTTTTCCATCCGTAAAATGCATGAAATATTTGTATACAAAACTATACAAATAGCAAGAATTAAAACAGAGTACAATGTTCTGTAGAATATATACTTACCTATGATATCAGTCAATGCTAGAACATTCTTGTTGTTCTTTTACACACGACTCTACATATCAACAATCAAATTTTTGTTTAATTTAATCTGAATGACCTGAGATGATTACATTTTCCTTGTTGAATTTAATTGATTTTCTTGTCAAATAATGAATAAAACAATCGACACTAATCTCTGTCGCTGTCAAATAAGAACTAAATAAAAACATGAGATCAATTAAAACAAATTGGTCAGAGAACAATTGAAGGTCTTTCCACCCTCAATGCAAATATTTTGGTATAAAAATATCAAGTTCCGGTTCCACATGTCATTTCTGTCTCATATGATCAACTACTTGAATTTGATTTAAAAAATATATGGTTCTAGAAACTTTTATATTAAAATAGTGCAAAAAATCATAACTTCTGATTTAATGAAGGGCACTTCCGTTTAACAATTTTGGAATATAATTTTGTTGTGAATATCTATGGTGTTCTTAGAGAATATACAGAAGAAGAAATTCATAAGAAATTAAACTCAACCAATTTACCCGCCGAAAATTTAGATATTTGATAACAGCAAATTTCAGTAAAACAATGTCTTTCATGTGTCATTACCGCATATGAGGGTTAGGTAAACGATAATACCTTCGTCAACTTAAAGCCAATCAAGAAATGTGTCATGCAATTTATACATGTTATATATAAGATAGTGTTCAAACTGTGACATTGTTGCATTTTTTTAACCATGCAATGACTTTTTAAATGTAGGGAATAAGTGAACTCATATGTAAACTGATGTATTTAATTAACAATTCATATACTTGTTAATAGGTGTAATCTTTTCCGACCCGTATATTTTAATATACAAATACTTTTGATATTTGCAATAATTTCTTCGTTGAATTCTTTTAAAGACAGTATTTTTCTTTTCCCTTTCCAATTATAAACAGCTGGTATATAAGTAAATTAAGCTAGCATGTTTTACCCGCTATATTCTACGGAAAATGCCTATACCTAGGCTAGAGTATGACATTTGTTTTTCATTCGTTACGTTGGTTGATATAGTCAGATTGTATGGACCTCCCCTTTTTGAATTTAAAAAGGAGTACTGAATTTCTGTTGATACGTTTAACATGGTGAACAAAGCCTTTAGCAATCAACACATTTTTCTGTTCTTGTCAAAAGAATAAGAAGGAACTACAAGACTTACTAAAACTGCCTGTCTAAATAAAATACCATAATAAAGATAAAGACAAAAAAATATACTTCCAGACACTGCTAACAAAACCATCAAAAACCTTAATTGAACTCGGGTACTTATGAAGGGTCAGCAGTTTCTGTTTCAGTGTTGGCAGGTTAATACGGTGATACGTCGTTTTTTCGTGGTGTCAAAATTGAGGACAGGTAAAAGATCCATTAAATAATGTTTTAAGGATGAGGTCATAACATGTTTAGGAATGTTTTCGAGACTACTTCGTTTTTTCCTACGATACAGGGTAAACATATTTTGAAAACAAAACTTTACGACAAAAGAGATAATTTCAGCATCCCAATTGTGAACATTCCATTTCTATGTAGCAACATTCCAGCCGAGCCTGCATACGGAGTATATATTTCCCAATTGATACGATATTCTCGGGCTTGTATTTCCTATCATGATTTCCTTGATAGAGGGTTGCTGCTCACAAGAAAGCTATTAGACCAAGAGTTCCAAATGGTGAAGTTTAAATCATTCCCTCGTAAATTTGCCGGACGCCATCACAAGTTGGTTGACCGTTATGGAGTTACCGTTTCACAGATGATATCGAATATGTTCCTTATGTTGTAACTACAATCCTCGTTCTTTTCACGAATTTGACTTACCGAATCAGACTATTTACCGGGTTTATAATAACATGAGCAACTCGACGGGTGCCACATGTGGAGCAGGATCTGCTTACCCTTCCGGAGCACCTGAGATCACCCCAAATGTTTGGTTGGGTTCGTGTTGCTAAGTCTTTAATTTTCTATGTTGTGTCTTGTGTACTATTATTTGTCTGTTTGTCTTTTTCCTTTTTAGCCATGGCGTTGTCAGTTTATTTTCGATCTATGAGTTTGACTCTCCCTCTGGTATCTTTCGCCCCTCTTTTGCCTCATATCACCCATTTTATTTGCATATCAGACTTCAATAGCTCATAAAAGGTCATTAACAAAATTTAAGTAGTTTCTAAATTTCTTTTCGTACGATTTGAAATCCAAATAATGCCGAATTAAATAAATATCAGGTAAAAGTCCAAGTCAGTCTTTTTTCCAACATTTTAAAGATTAAATATCTCGAAACGGAGTTGTGAGCTTACAGAGTTTGAGTTTCGGTAAGTTTGGTATTTGGCCTTTGTTAGAAATGAATTTATGCAGTCAATTTCATCGATCCTTATTAAGCTCGATGCAATGCATTAGCAGGCGGATCATTAAAAAAAAAAAAAAAAAAAAAAGTAGTGAAGTTAAATTTTACTAATTATAATCTTTAAGATATCGTTTCATGTATATCACACCCATATGTAAATCAATATTTACATTATTGACATTCTTTACGATAGGATTACCAGTCCACAATTTGACTGATTTGGGGTTAACTGAATAACACACCGTTTTTTTGTATCATCTAAAAGAGGAGAATAAGCCGCATCGAATTATCAATGTCGTTGTCGTCTACAGTAGTCACGTTTCTCTTAAATTTGGCTCAAATCCAAAATTTTAGGTGAAATGCAGAATTACATTAAGACAACTTGCCGCCCCTATATACATGCGGAACGTGTAGAACTTATTTATTCAAATGCATTGAATACCAGTATCATTTATCGAAGGTCGTTCATTAACAACAACAATGATCGTTTTAAATCGTGACTTGCAAATTCATTCAAACTGAATTGGGAAAAAAACATAAGCAAAAGTCCAAATTTTTCAAACAACATACCAGTATCATTTATCGAAGGTCGTTCATTAACAACAACAATGATCGTTTTAAATCGTGACTTGCAAATTCATTCAAACTGAATTGGGAAAAAAACATAAGCAAAAGTCCAAATTTTTCAAACAACATGCCACCCTATCACAATAACTTAGATGTCATTGTATTATGAATTGTTCATGAATATATCTAAAGTGTCATTCATATCCGTACCATTGCGGGGTATTGTTTAAGAATATATTCTATATGTCTGAGGAAATGATGTACGCAAGAGAAATACAACGTTGTAC